GAGCACAGTTTTAGCTGCAGTACAGCGTTTTAACCACTGCGCCACGAGGCTGTATGCTTTTATTTTGGAAGGATATAAAGAATCAATGAATTTTAAAATTTTAGTCAGTGGTTTAAATTTTTTCTTCAGATTCCTGACTTAAATTGTTGATGAGCATGGTGTTGGTAGTTTCTATTGTTAAAATAGATGTGTGGATCATTTCTTTTAGTTAGATTTCGGACCTGTTTTGAATTTGTAATCATAGGGGCTTCTAAGACAAATGGAAGTACTGCTATAGAAATTGGAAACAGCTTGATACAGATGTTTAATGGGTGAGGCAAATGCTAGATGTCTTGCAGATACCTTAGCCATACAGTAATTCAGGTTCAGAAGAGTGGCTCATAATGACATAATGCTCTGAAAAGGCAATCAATGACTTTGATTCCATATTGGTAATCAATCTTTTCATAAAATGTGCATGAAAGTGGGGGTTTCTGCCAATCTCTAGTTTGCAGTTTTATTCAGATGCTCTTAGGGGAGATTCAAGATGCTGAATCCTATTTCTAAACTAGTTCAGCACCTTGGATAGTGCCTTATTCATTGCAAGCAGAGGACAATTGTTATTAAGGAAAGAATGGCATTTTCTCAGGGACACATCATAGCAGACTGACCTTTGGGAAAATGTGACATCTCTAAAACAGAATAGCTGTCTTAAGGGAGACATCTGGATCTTATGCCTGTGAAATTTGGAAGGGTCACTAACAGCTTGAATTTTCCTTTGCCCTGAACAGATGAGAAAGCAGTTTCTTTGTGATTATTGTATGTATGCTTAAGGCACATTTATTGCATTTAGTTTCTCTTGCTGGCAAATGAAAGTTTGGATTTGGAACATTATAACCCAAATCCAAAGGAGTGTGGTTGATGTTAATATTTAAATTGTGCTTAAGGAAATAGCAGCAAATGTGAAAGATAAAAATGTTATGTATGAAATAATGCAATTGTGCATGCCTGAATTTCTGTCTGTCTGTATATGCTGCAGCCTCATTGGGGAATCTAGTTATATGTGCCCTTTTTTGTTCTATGTAACAGTGTTCATTGTGTTTCCAAAATCTAGCACTGAAAACCTTGGAAACACCCTCCCAATTTCAGTTGGGAGGGTGTTCCACCCTTGGCTATGGAACACCCTCCCAACTGAAATTCGTCTGGCACCCTCGCTAGGTGTTTTCAAAAGCCATTTAAAAACTTGGCTCTTCAAGCAGGCCTTCCCTCCAGTTAATTAATTCATCTTAAATTTTTTTTTCCTTGAGTCATGTCATCTTGGTAATATGTTGTTAAGAATTAATTGCTGCAGACAGATAGAAATAGAAAAAAAAAAAATTTCTCTCTCTCTCTCTCTCTCTCTCTCTCTCTCTCTCTCTCTCTCTCAATAACACACTGTTATGTTGGCCTGACATACCAATATCATGTTTGCATGAGAACAAAATACTTGAATTATGTTAGCATTTTATTTGTTATTGGACAATCATAGAATCGGGTAGTAGTCAGAAGTGTGTTCACCTAAGCTTTTTTGTGATAGTGGGAGTGACTTTACTGTTTCAATTTGTTGGTTCTCCCATGTTGATTCAACACTAATTCAATCTAGCTAGTGTGGGTTTAACTGCACTAATTTCTATTAGTTCATTTTTTAAAATTGTTTTTGTTAGACACCTGTGGCAAAGTGGTAATAAAACAAAACGGTTTGATACAGTAAGTTCAAGCAGCTAGATTGACTTGCAAATGGATAGTGAGATTACTAAACAAAAATCAGATGAGTTTGGAAGCATGGTTGTAGTTTAATCAGTGATCTCCTTCTCTGTCTATTATTCTTTATAGAGGTAATAAGGACTTTACTGTATTTTTTCTGGAGTTATGAAATTATGTTTTATTTTCTTGTCATTTGGTAGGATTTTGGTAAGAAAGGTTCTGGTGCTGAATTTAACTATTTAATGTTGAATTTATCTGCATCTAACTGGTTTGTTCTTGAGGTTTTTTGAGCACTTCCACTCCTTTTACTAGAATGCCATTAAATATATTTTCTCAAGGGGCTATTGCCATGTTGTTACAAAAAAGGTTTAAGCTAAAATGAAACACCAAAGAGCAAGTTAGTATGTTGCAGGAACAAACAATAAAGAATCTTTTGCATCTTAAAGACTAACAACAAAGTCTATTTGGAATGAGTGTTCATGGACTTTAGTCCATTTCTTCAGATGCACCTTTTTTTGGTTGATACATGTAAGGGAAAACATATCTTGGGCTTCTGTGAACAACAGAATGCATGCATTTTATAGTCTTTATTACCATTCACAATATAATTCTAATTCAGTTTAGAAGAGTCTACAGTATTACTAACTGGTGCATGGCATTTGCTTCCCTAAATTATTATTATTGGTTGCCAACCCAAGTGCTCTAAAAGGCAGTCATGATATTTCAATACTTTGTAAATGTTTCTATTTTCCTTTTAACCTCTCACGTTGTTTTTTAACCAAATGCCCATCTGGTAGGAGCATTTGTTATAAACATAGCGGAATGGTTCTTTGAAGCAAGCGCGCCTTCTGTCTCGCTCCCTAAACAATATTTTTTTTCTCACATCCCACATTATTCTAATTTCTATCTAATCTTCATTGCTGAGAATGTTAACTCTTTTTAGCCAAATTTTATTGTTCTACCATATTAAATTTGCTAATTTATTCCTGTGTTGAGGTCACTTGTTTTAAAAAAAAAAGTTAAAGTAATTCTCTAAATTGAGACAAAAACATTGGTTACACTGTAGATGTTATTTCTTTTTTCCTTTAGCAACAATATTGATTTCCATTGAAGCAAACAGATGAGCCTTTTTTAATGCAAAGTGCTAGAATTCACTAAAAAGGTTAAAACTGAAGTGAGTAATTTTCAGCACATAATATGCGATTGTTAATTTTAGCTTTGTGCGTAGGAGCTGTTATGACTTGAACAGCCGGCTCTAGCCTTCATTAGAGAAGAAGCACACAGTATTTGAGACAGGTGGAGTTGGATCAAGCTGTGAATGTGATTTGCTTGAAGCTGGTCATTAGTGTTAGAAATCTGGTCGCTATTTACTTTATCTTTTAACTCTATCATGATTATAACCATTATTAGTAGTATTTACCTTTTGTCTTTCTTTCCCTTCCTGCCAGGTGGATAACAATGATCTGTCAAACTCTCAAAAGGAACAGCATGGAAACTGACAATCTGAACTGTTAATGGGGTCATGGGACTCACATTGCCGTTGATCACTTGTGTGGATTTAACCAGTGAAGAGAAACAGAAACTGCTAGAACGGCATCAGGCATTAGCAGAGCACTGAAGGTAAACAGCTTCTTTTGTTGCATACTTAATGGCAGGAGAACACTTAATTTATGTGAGTTTGTAGCACGCTCAGACAATTGCGTCAAGTCTGCAGAGGTGTAGCAGATGTGTATGTTGGTTCATTACTCATAAAAAAAGAGTAAAAATTCAATAGACAATAAAATGCATCTGATTAATATATAATTTGGAAGAAAGAACGGTACAATTTAAAATATAACACCCTTCGCATAAAAGATATACGAGAAAATATACTGCTATGAGGAAAAGGGAGCAACTTGACAATATAAGTTTATAATATACACAAATAACTGATAGTTTAATTATTTTGAAACCCTTCTTTCAGCTCCCCAATGTTTGCATACAGAGAAATACAAAATATACAAGTTTTCAAAGGATCTCATAGTTTTTATTTTCCTCCCCCCACCCAAGTCATGCTCCACTTAAACATTTAATTGTAGCGCAGGTCAGTTTGTGATCCTTCTCAGTGGCAAAGCAACACATTTTTCTTTGAAATAAACATAGAAAGGAAGCACTGTGAAGATCCGCTCAGTGTTAATTGTAGCCTGTAAAGGCAACATGATGATGTCTATGTTCATCTAATAACTGTTATTAAATTGTGAGAATGCTAAATACTGAAATCTGTTCTGAAATAACTTGTCTCCTCCACACTTATTTTTCTTCTGAATATGATTTTCTTCCTGTTTGTTTTTCTTTTCTTTTAAAGGCAAAGTGGAGAAAGCCAAAAATGCTAAATTATTCATGAATTAAATTTGACAACTGATGCGTAGGGAGGTGTCAACAGGGTGTTTTATGGTTAGGGAGAGTTAAATAATAATACGTTTTAACTTTGAAAAGCCATTTTGAGCTCCTCTACAGCTGACTGGTGTGAGCTGAGAGCAATGCCATGCAGTGAAGATATCTTCATCAGAGCTACCTTGCCAAGGGCTTCTAGGCAGATTTCCACTGCTCTGGAGAGGGACATGGGTTTTAGAAGTAGCTTTTGATTTATAAATGGATCTGTCAGTGTAATGCCTAGAAATGGTGACAATGAGGGATTTATTTCCAAATTTAGTGTTAACATTTCTGTTGCATAAATAACACTGCAACCAGATATATTTTATGTTTTAATGTAAATAGTGCTATAATTGGGGGGGATATACATAGAAGATTACTTGACTGATTAAAGTGTATGAATTGTGTCTTTGATTGTTCTTGTTTTCATTTTTGTTTTTATTATGGTCAAATCTAATCTCCAAGCTATAATTGTGAATGAATTATCATGTATTTGTTGCATCCCCTCCTTGATTTAAAAAAGTGCCAAACCATCCAGACTTCTGCAGCTACAGGGTGGAAAGGGGGTGGGATGAGGAATTTCAACCACACCTACTTGTTTTTATACGGTTGAAATCAGGCTCTTCTGCCTTCTTCACTTTTACGTAATTCTACTTTCAACTAGAATGAAAGAGTTCATTACTGCCTCCTAAATCAAACTGCTCCAATTCCTGATCTCCTTTTTGGGTCTTGTTAGCTGATTATAAAGGAAACAAAAATATCTGTCATGAGGGTAAAACACCACATTCCATCGCTATGTTGCTATTGTTGTTTTTCATATCTTGTCCTTGCAGGCCATCAAGTTCTGTTCTTTTAATTTCTACCTGGGAGAATGTCTGAGCAGGGAAAAGGAGAAGAAGCTGGAAACGAACAAGACTCAGCCGTCTCCCAACAAGAGAATTGCATCCTTAGCTCAGAGGCAGATGAAAAGGAAGAAAATGGAAAGTCAGACCAGGTAAGAAAATTAAGTAACTTTTCAGTTAAAAGTGGTTTATAACTTTATTTGTCTCTGTAGTTTCATTTTCATATCAATTGTACAGTAGTCAGTCTTTTCTTCTATTAGATTTTCAGTCACTTTTTCATAACCCTCCCTGCCCCAATTCAAATTTCAAGTAGATGTTGCATACACTTTCATTCTGAAAGATCAGAATGCCTCACAGTTATCTTCAGGGTGTGTTATCACCATTACTTTTGCAGTAAATACACATTAGGTCAAACTGTAAAAATGCTAAGAGAGGAAACTATCTCTATGGAAATAAAATACTGGGAAATACAGTTGATATCTCTAAAGGCAATTATGTCTATAACCTTTGTAGTAAAGATACATGATATCGACCTTTCAATTTGTTTGATAAGAAATAGTAATATTACTTAAATTGTCAGGCTCCTTTTAATTTTCTCAGTATATGTATTAAAATGTGAGAAGATAAAAGCTAGGATTCAGAGGATTTCTTTGATATTGATTTAAATATAATATTGTATGTATACGAAATCTTTTACATCTGTATAAAAGCAAAAGCAATCATAACTGGGTAACACCACTAAGATCAATACAAAAGGCTCCTTACAGAGTCATTCTTAGGTCCATAAGAAAGCATATTTTGACCATCACTGCATGAGACAGGTACCTCATGAATGATTTAATGAAGTGCTGTTATTTTTTAATGTGTATTTTCCACCCATAATCATACATAATTTGTCACTTGTTTTTCACAGAAACGAGGTGCTAACCAGAACCAGCAGAAAAAGAGATCCAAGGTAGAATTTTTGACTACTTGGGATGAATTGTTGCATGCGTGGGATGATTGTGATATGTTATTTCTATTTTTTTTAATTGTTATTCATGCTTTAGGTAAGTGTTATAAGGTCAGTAGGCTTTCATGAAATATTAGTGATTTCCACTATTACCATTCTGTGACCATTCAAGGCTTCTATGTTTTCATATATTTGTAGTTTGTGCTATTCGCCACTGGAGACGGAGAAAAAACTAGACTGTTTCTTTTTCCTACTCTGGATAAATGTTATCTGTTATAGGCATTTAGTTCCCAGATCTTAAGAGCAGCGGGCAAGCTCAAAAACAGATCTATGTGGTCAGTTTAATTTTTAAAATATCTTGGCATTTTTTTTAGTGCAATGTAAAAATGAATAAACTAATACAGTTAAGTGTGATGACTCAGTTCCATTTTTCATTTATGAACATTTGCCAATTTTTGTTTTATCTTAAATTCTGCGTAAGGAATAAATTATTTTTGGCTTTCATGGTATCAGTATTTCCTCTGTCCCAATAACTCAGTAGCATGGTCCTGCATGTCAGTAAACGTTTTTGGTACAGCAGTGTTTATTTTAATTTATCTGATAAACAGTATGGACATCTAGTATCTCCATCTCTCTATCTACACCACATGCATGTGTGTGCATGTATGCACAGGAGCATGCACATCTTGCTGTTCAGAAGTGATTTCACTTTTTCTATATTTCAGTCAGGAGGGAAGGCAAAACTTGTACGAAGTCTCGCTGTATGCGAAGAATCATCCCCTCGCCTGGAAGCTGAGAATGACAATCAGGTATCTAAAATTTTAGCTGCATGATTAACTTTTTTTTTGATATGCATGGTAACATTGCTTTAAAGTTGTTTGTTGATTTTGGGGAAAAGAACATACACAAGAGCATACTTGATTATTATAACTGCTTTGGAAGTTTTCTGGTGTTTAGTGTGTACTTATTTTGAAATGCATGAGTAGTTCAACAGTGTGTCACAGGGTATTATTTGCTTTTTTTTTCCAGACCCCCTGAAAATTTCAACAAATGGAAAGGAATTCAAAAGAATTCAGATTAATTATTTTTTAAAAAAATTCAAACAAAAAAAATAGAATTGTTATTTTCTCTAAAGCTATCTCTTTTAGCACATCACCAGGCATAGTATTCTAACTGCACTCTGGCTTCTAATTCATGAAAGGTCTATGTATTAGTTCCCTGAACCTATTTCCTGAGCTGCCAATTTTTTTACCCTTTAAGTTACAGTTCTCTAGAAGCAAGTGCATTGTATTCCATATGGTTCATTTTTCTGATTCTTGGTGCCAATTTTCTAATATTGCAAAGTGTGTATTTGAGTGAGTCTGTATTGATGTTGTATGCAATTCATTCCAAAGAAATATATCTATATATAGATATCTATATATTTATGGATCAAGTCAGGAAAATTTTATCTAACATATTTTAGTATTTTACAAAACCTTCCTTCAGCATGTCTTTCAAAAAGCTTACATTTTATTTCTGTTTGCTTATAAAAGCAAATTTAACACAAATGCAAACCAAATAGAAATAGAAAAAAAGAAACTTCCTGCCAGTATTTTTTACTTGAATACTCAGACATTATTTGAAGAATGGGATTAGCCATAGAGAGGGAGAGGAGATATGAACTTTCATTAGCACAAATAAATACTCCATTTAAGTGTACTTCCTAATATTTTTCTCTGTTAACTTGAAATGAAACAAATCAAACTCTCCTCTTTACTCTTTGCCAAGGAGAGTTTTATTTTTATTTTGAAAGACCAAAAAACCCAGCACCCCATATCTCATAGAGCTGTGGGGGTTTTGTACTTTCTCTTGCTGCTCTACAATGTGTTTATGCAGTAGATCAGTAGATTATTTTATCAATTGTGATAGATGTTTTGAGGAAAAAGCTTCCGCTCAATTTGCTTTACTACAAATATGTGGCTTTCATTCTGCATTTTACTTATGTTTTCTATTGTTTTAAATGGAGACTGCAAGGAGAATAATATAAATATATCAGATTGTATTAAATGTTGCATGGTAGTTTCTGATGTATTCTCTACAAAGGAAAAAGTAATGTTATATTTCATAGAGATGGCAGATACGGACATAAACAACCTTAGGCCAAAAAGAGGAGCAGGGTAATTCATGTTCCTTATGGTCCCTACCATTGTTAAGTTCTAGTACTTGAGATAATTCCTTACCTTGATGCAAAATGTGCGGGGATTAAAGTGTTTTCTGCCACCAAAGCCTGCTCCTTGGTGAAAACTGTCTGCATATAATACTTTAGATAGGAAGCATACTTGACTAACTTTGCACTAAAAGAGTAAGACTTATGTTCTCCTTTTCAAACTGAAAGAAGTACATTGGAAGAGTTGTGCTAGTGGATTTTTTTAATTTTGAACTATTCTTTATTCATTCAGCTTCACTGTTTACAAAGCACAGGGTCTAAATTAACACAGAATGTATAGTACATTGCCAGTACTACAGAGTATGGATTGTACTACCAACCTAATATTTGTATTATATTTAAAGGTTTGCCTTGATTTTCCTGTGTAGGAAAAATCTTGTTACCTGTATTACTTGATCATGAAAACTTACCTGATCACACACTTTGTCCTTATTTTACAAAGAATGTTGCCTCTAATGTTATAGTATTGTTTTAGCAGTGTATTATTGAACATCGAACATCTTTTGTTGTTCACTACACATATCTTGTATGAATGTATTTATAAACGTTGTAATTTTATTATTGAAAAACAAATAAATAAAAAGTGAATACAAGAAACAAACAATAGATTGTTTTCACGACTCTGCAGCAGTTCTGTGTGTTTATTTCAAATGCAGTTAATATTTAGCAATGATATGCTATATGTATGCTACAAAGGTTACGCTGTATGCCTATATGTCTGTTTTAAACTATATGTAAAGTCTGTCTTTCCCTCCATCTTTTGTAAAAAGGCAAATGAACTGTAATAGTTCCTGAAAGTGTCAGAACTGATTATAATTCTTTTCCCATCAGGATGACACAATTGCATTTTTACTTATTTTAGCTAAGCAAGTTACTTGGAGGGAGTTTGAGTCAAGCGATTCCCCCACAAAGCCAAATACAATTGTTAGTCCAAAATAGAGTATCTATTGAATTAGTAGGAACATGGTAAATTAACAGTTATTTAAATTCCATTGATTTAATGGGCCTGTTGGGACTAACCATTGGATTTTGATCATAAATACTAAATAGTTTTCACACCATATTTTCCTCCGGACTCTTAACTTCATTGACTACAATTTGAGAATCATAGGCCCTTAGCTAACATGATGTTATGTCTATTTAATCCCCAGTGATGTCAGTGAAACCTAAATTTTCATAAGCAAAACTGTATATATATAAATGTATAAGCAAAATTGATCAATAAATACACTTAGGCTTTTCTTCCTGACATTCATAATTTGTAAAATCTTCATAGTTCATAGTTTATAAAAACTTCTTTGGGGACTCTTCCTTCAGGTATATTTTTATTTGCTGTTAATAGATCTATCAATTCAAAATGATAATCCTTTCTCAGTAATACTTGTATGATGATATTTGAGTTATTCACTTATTCACGCTTCTTAAGTCAAGTCTACAAACAGTGCTAAACTAAGATAATTAGCATGTCCCATATAAGGACCTGTGCCAAAACACACTGAATAGGAAATACGTACAGTAAATGTTAGAGAAAATATATTAAGCATCATGGTGCAGATACACACAATATATTTTAAATATCACACAAGGAATTTACAATTTCGCTGAGGAATTTAATCTGAATACAGCCATGTTCTTATATAAGTTTTTCTGAAATAAATCCCACTATATTTTAAAATAAATTTACTCTAATAAGTTTTAGATGCTTCTGTCTTTGATACATTTACTCTGAAATGATTCTCTTGGCTTCAGTGGAATTCATTTGGCACCATAGAATTTAATTTTTAAGATTTCAGTTGTAACTTCTCATTACTGCACACTTTTTGCTAGCTACAGTACTTACTGTATATTTGGAAAGGCATCTCACTGAATCCAGTGTGACATGGAGCAAGAAAACTAAGCTTGTTTTGGAGTACATAAATTATGATTAAAATGGTCATTTATTCAGAATAAAATTCTGATCTTTAATGATGTTATCCAAAATAAATATCAAGAAGTAAAATTTATCCTTCAGAGTAGACTGTTCTTATCCAGTTTACCAAATACTGTTTGGCTTAAGATATTCTGAGCATGGACTTCATTATGCATTTTGGAAGCCATGCCAGTTTTCCTAAATCTGGCCGTAAATTATTATATTTTTTTCAACAGGAATCAATACAACTACAGCTTTCAAGTTTTCCCAGCCTACAAGAAGAGGATAAATCTAGTAAAGATGACTCAGAGAAAGAAAAAGAGAAGGATAAAAACAGAGAAAAAGATAAAAACAATGAAAAACCCAAGATAAGAATGTTATCAAAAGGTGAACAAAAATATTTAAGTCATTATTTAGTCATTTTTCATATTCACATACTGTTTGGATGCAAGGTTGCATTTGCCTGTGCGTGTATTTCATCTGATTTGTGCATATATTGGGTATTCTATCTATGTTTGTAGGGTTGTATTATGTGTATTTGTTTCCATATTCTTGGTGCAACACATATTCATTTGGCATTCACTGCTATGCATATAATGTCAGGAAATTCTTCCCGTTTCTTTCTTCCCTGAATCCCACCATAAGCCAGAAAACCTGCTTTGGAGGACAGGAGTAGGTTTTTAGGGAACGTAGAGGATTGCAGGAAGGAGGACACTTGGTCCCTTACATTACTATAATGCATAAACTTTTCAACAAGCCTGCAGCACTTTTGATTCACAAACTGAAATGGAGACTACAACTGCGTATAGCAGATTGTCAAGGACTTGATTCAAAATATGTTTTAACTGCAAAAGCAAAGGAATTCTCAAAAATCTTCCAGGCCATTGTATGTGGTTAATGGGCCCTCTTCATCTTGGAGGAAGGGAAGAGATAGTGCTGGCCTTGCAAACATCCATGTAATTTGGAAAAAGTAATTGTATCTAGGAAGAAGACCATTCTGCAGATTTGTTCATTCATTACGTGCATTCCAGGTTCTTGGAATAAGATCTGCAGTCTATCTCCATCATATAAAAACAGGCTCCTTTCACTGTACGGAAAGTGCTGGAAATGAACTGGAGCATCTCATGTTCAAACTAACAGAGTGAGAATTCTGATTCATTGATTACTTTTTCCTCAAAAAGAGAGGAGTTATACAAATGATGAAAGCAAGTGGGAAGTCACATTGTTGAGCCATAAATGTCTTCTAGTTATCCCGTTAGATTCAGTCCCAAAGGTGAAATAATGAGTACATACATTGAGTGCGGTCAAGTCAGTTTCTACATTTAGAACCCCTTTCCCAACCCCAGTTAGGAATACTTTCTGTATGTTGTGTGTTTGGGTTTGCACATGTGCACAGTGATTGGATACAGTTGTGAAATACCTTCATGAATAAGAAATGTATGAGTGGTCATCTAATTGTGCTAGTAACAATATTATTATAACATTAATTACTATTGGCATTGAATACCATAAATCTTATATTTAGTTTACCACATTTTCACCCTGATAAGAAACTAGTGAGCCCTAGTGATAATCAGGAAGTGGCTGAGAGGGAAGACACACAATGATTTACTTCTCTTCAATGAGAAAGTGATGAAATGGGAACTCTTGTCCCTCTTGGCCTAAATCCAGCATAATGCTAGTGGTGTGAAAATACCTGTAGAACTTTGTGCCAAAACAGTGGCTTCAAACCTTGGATAATCCAAGTGTTCTTGGACTGCTACTCCCAGAAACCCAAGATAAAATAACTGGTAGTGAAAGCTTCTGGGAATTGTAGTAAAAAAAACACCTGGTGTTTTTTTTTACCCAAGGTTGAGAACCACTGTGCTAAAGTATAACATTGTGCAAGAAGTTATGGAAACAGTTACACAGCTAGATGCACAAGCACTCGTGCACCTACTAACAAAAACAACTTTTGAATACCCCATTTGCAATAATTATGAATAGCCCTTGTACTAGCACGATGACATGATTTGATACAGGTCACAGATATCGAGATCTATGCATGCAACCAGAATTGTTACATGAAAGACTTGGTGTTATATACACTACCAAATGGCTGTGCGGAATCCTGGCATAAAAACCTGTTGTTAAATTAATCGTTCTTTGTAAAATTAAATTAAACTTATGCAGATCAACTGTTAGTTAACACTTTAGTTACTTTAAACTGATAATTTATCTGAGTTTGGTCTTAATTTTACACATCTTAATTTCTCACACAGATTATGAGTGGAACATGTATGTAAGATCTATATTTCTAGTTATCCACTCTTGGTAGGTCTCTTTATAATGTATTATGAAGACTTATTATAGACACATAACAGCATTACTGTGCTGAAAATCTTCTCTGAATAATGTGGTTCTAGGCAATTTATGACCAGAACATCCTTCCCCCCAAAAGATAATAGGGTGGCTGATTATGTGCCTTCTACTTAGTTCACACGCTGTCCCTGGTTTTGCTACCTATACATTTTCACACTATGTTGCTTCCTAGGGTTTTATATGATAGTGGCTTAATAGTATCATTTATTTGATACCATGCAGTACATGAGTTTAGAATATAATCTGTAGGGCACAATCCTAGTTGTAATCCCAGCACCTAAGTGCATTGTGTAATATTGGAGTGAGTGCTCTATAGATTGGCTTCAAATAGACTTCAAGACATGCACAGAGATTTAATGGAGCAACCAATTAGAGGAGGAAAGATAGAGGAAATAATTTTTTAAAAAATAGGAAAGAGTCTAGGAATGGATGGGTTGGGATCAGAGTACTATAAAACTTTCAGGAAAATGTTAGTACTGTGCTTAAATTAAAGTATCTTTTTAATAAAATAGTAGAATGTGAACATTTGTTAATTATATTAATTCCAAAATTGTATAAGGATCCAATGCGTTTATGGGCCTATTAACTTATTAAATCTAAATGCTAAGATTCTTACAGCAATATTAGCTAAGAAAATGAATAGTTTTATTACTAAGTATAGTAAAGAAGATCAAAGTGGATTTATAATAGGAAAACAAATGGCAAATTTGACTAGGAGAGTGTTAAATGTAATGTAATAACAAGACAAAAGGTGAAGATGGGAGTAATTTCATAGGATATTTTCAGTGCATTTGATTTCATTGATGACCAGCATTAAAAATATTAATTAAAATAGTAGATTTTGGAGAGAAATTTAAAGGTATGATGGATCAGTTATATTCAAAGTATACATCATAATAAATGATGGCATCGCATAATAGATATCCCTAGGTTGTGGTACAAAGAAAAAATATTCTCTTTCCCCAATATTGTTTGCTTTAGTTATAGAACTGTTGGTGAATGTCGTCAGAGAAAATAAATTAATTTGTGGCATAGGTGCTAAAGACAAAGTTAAAATTAGTTAATTTGCTGATGATACTTTACTAGGAGTAAAAAATCCATTAATGGTTATGGACATTTAAAAGAATTTGGAAAGATAATGGAGTTACAAATCAATTGGAATAAATTAGAGATTATAATGTTTAATTAAGGACAAAAAGAGATAATTAGAAAAATTGATATTGATATTTGAAACTCTAATAAATATTTAGGTATAAATATTCCAATGAATTTAGGAAAATTGAAGGAAGAACATTTTAAAAAAATTGAAGCTGGAAATTTTTTAAAAAATACGTGATTTTAAGGAAATTTGGATTTTCCTGGCTTGGTAGAACAGTGGTATATAAAATGAAAATTCTACCCAAGATGAATTTCTTATTTATGATGTTACTAAGAAGAGTTAAAATACTGGCAAAATATGATTAATAAATTTTGTAATGGAATAAAAAAGCAAGAATTAGTAAGAAATGAGTACTGGGGTTTGTGGTGTATATAAATATTGAAATCTATGTCTGTAAGGATAAAGGACAATTAGTTTAAAAATGGTATTTAAATCCAGTGAGAATAAATAAAATAGATGCTAATTACTCCAAGTTGTTCTGGAGAGGATGGCAGAAAATAGGTACTTATTTTCACATGTCATGAAAATGTGAGAATATATTGAAATGTTGACAATTGCTTCTCAGGGAGATAAATGAAATAACTAACTGAAATTTAAAGGTATGTCCTAAGGGAGCTGGGTACTCATTTTACCGACCTTGGAGTCGACCTTGAGCCAGCTACCTGGGATTGAACCCTGGGTCGTGAGCACAGTTTTGGCTGCAGTACAGCAGCTTAACCACTGCACCACGAGGCAGTTATAGTAAGAATAAGAATAATATAAATAAAACTAAGCCACACCTCATCTGTGCATATATTACAAAGTTAGACATGACAGAGTGGTAAAGTTAGCGCTCTGGTAATTATACAAAAAATATAACTTGCCATCCTCCAAAAACCCGTGGGAACATCAGGTAGAGAAGGTGTCAGAAAAAGAGGAAGTCAAGATCTTGTGGGATTTCCAGATCCAAATGGACAGAAACCTTGAATATAACACACCAGACATAGTAGTAATAGAATGAAGAAATGTCCAGATCATTGACATTGCAATTCTAGGGGATGCCAGAGTTGAAAATAAAGAATTGGAAAAACTAACAAAGTACAGAGACCTGGCAATCGAAACATCTCACCTCTGGAAGAAAGAAACTTCTGTCATCCCTGTAGTCATTGGGGCTTTGGGAACAATATCAAAAAATTTCACACAGTACTATTAGCAGTTGCAGATCTCAGAAATCACACAATCAGAGCTACAAAAAATGGCGATATTAGGAACAGCATACATCCTGTGCCGATATTTGACAGATACTTGGGTTTTTTGTTAAAACTTGTATCTGTTGTATAATACCAACCAATATTTTAAAATTTTGACTGTGCTTGGTGCTTTTTAATGATGATGATGATGATGATGATGATGATGATGATGATGGTGGTGGTGGTGGTGGTGGTGGTGGTGGTGATGATGATGATGATG